AGAAACTCTCAGGGGGCCATGCGCGGAAAAAGCGCACACCTGGGGGTTGAATTTAAAATCTTTGAGTTCTATATGGACGAGAAACATAATCCCAAAATTTCAGCATTCTAGCTTTTCTGGTTCCCAAGTTAGCGATTTTCTCGCCAAAACTTTGAGGCGTTCGTACGCGGGGACTAGACGTGCTGGAGGATTAGTACCGCGGTCCTGGGGTGGAACTTGGCCGGGGAACCCACTCGCAAAATTTTGGCGCCGGAGCTTATTTGGGTGCCGAGATGAAATACCCGGGCAGAGGCACACACACACACATGCACACACACACACATACACAAACACACATACACACACATACACATACATACACAAACACATACTGGGGTCGTCGCAATATATGTTTTTGCACATATGCAAAAACGCGTAAAAATGCGCATTGGCCAGTGATTTTCACTCGCTCTCTGTCTCTCCTCTGTATGTTCACACTTTTGCCATCCACTTTCGATCTAGCAACCGGTGAAACTAGGATCCTTAAATTTCTGGAGCATGTTTCCACCTCATGTGCGGTGCTCCATCTCTAAAGTTATTGTTCTCCCATGCGTGGGTCTCACGCGCGGACTTAAAAAATTTGTGCAATTTTTTTGGTGGGGATGCGATTTTGATAACCAGACAGGATAGGGAGCTGAAACGTTACGGAGATGTTATGTGCCCTCATATGTGTTAAAGATTTTAAACTCACCTTGGACGCATGCGTACATGAGCCCAAAGGTAGTACTTAAAACGAGTTGTTGACGCTGTTCGTGAGATCACTTTCGTGCATCAGCATGTCCCGGCCTTCTAGGTCGCAGAAGCCTTTATCGACAACTGACAACACATAGCTGCGCAGGCGATCTCATTGCAGCGCGAAATAATCTAAAATCGCACAATTGCGCCGGCCGGCCTGTGCACGCCACCAATGATTGCATCTTATGCAGACGCATAAGACGCATACCATCAAGAGGTTCGGTTTGCGTGTTCGACGACGAGTGATCTTTGATTACCTACTTCCATTTCAACAGTCGGGAAAGCTGGAAAATAAAAATTGTAAAAGCATGTTCCCACCCCATTCGCCATCTTCATGTTTTGAAATCAACGCTTTCGTGCGCCTGGACTTCGCGTGCACAGTTCTGAAAACAGTGTGCAAATTTTTTGGCATGGAGACGGATTGGAGGAGTGGCAAACGTAGAAAACTGGAATTCTGCAAGGATATTTTTCATCTTTGTGTGAGCCAAGATTTCAAACTCAGATATCGCGTGTGCTTGCGTAAGGCATATAATCATGTCAAAGTTCACGGTTGATACCGTGCTAATTTCAAAACTAGCTGGAAAACAATAACTATAATTTTGCCAGAATGTTTTTCGTCGATTCGGGTTTCAAGCAGGTGTCCTACGATAGTACAAACAAGATTTTTCCAAATCAGGTAAGGGACGAATGGGGTACCATTGGCTTCCCAAGTAGAACTGCTTTGTAGCACGAAGAGCGCACTTTTTTCAATATTTTGAATGGGGTACTTTGAAAAATGTATATCCAGCGACAAATATTTCATTAATAAACCCAGTTAGCAATGTGCTCCAGAGTTGTAGAAGCGGACATTTGCTTTTGCGCTTTTATTATGCGTTTTTGCTGTGTAGCGCTGTAGTGCTGCTGCAGCCAGCAAAAACACATATTGTCGAGAGGCTGTCTGTGTGTATGTGTGTTCGGAAGCGAGTGCACTTTGTCACCCACTTTCATCTCAGCAACCAGGAAAGCTGGGGGCTGAAACTTTGGATATATGTTCCTGCCCCATGTGTCATCCTCCCGTTTTAAGATTTTTCTCCACACGCGCCTAGACCCCGCATACGGGACCTTCAAAGAAGTATGTTGGCAGGAACGATTTAGCGAATCAGGCAAGGTAAAAATCTGAAACTTTGCAGGGATATCCTCTATGCACGTGCGGGCTAGAGATTTTAAACTCAGCTGTCGAGCCCCCCAACCATGGTCTCAAGCAGCTCTTCAACCCAAAAATCATTCGCAACTCGAACCTGAACCGCAATCTTATATGTAAATGAACAAACGACCGTTCGAGCAATAGTTCCAATTTTTAATGAACTGGAAATTTGCATTTTTTCAAAAAATTTGTATTTGTCATTTTTTCACAAAGCGAGCATTTACCGAAAAAACGACTGGACTTCATGTAAAAAACCAGTAATCATGCACCTAGATGTCCGTGCGGCTCTATAATGCACCACCTTCATCCCAATTGGCGCTCTTCCCCCTGCATGCCGGAAAGGATCAAAGCACGCCAGTATGACCCAAGTGTTAGGCTACAGTATTAGGAGTCATTCCTGTTGATAGCGATCTGCGAGTTTAGTGCAAAAACGCATGATCGCACCGGAGGGCCTGGTGCAGTCCAGCCTGGGTATTTTATTGAGAAATCTTCTTGAGAAGTTTCGATTTGGATTGGTTTCTTCACATTCATGCATCCGCAACAGTTTGCAAAAGAAATGCATTGCCCAGCGTAGCGACGTGTGCATCGCTCATTACTGCTTGCATAATTTATTATTTTTAAATTTTTTAGCTCAATCGCGCAAAAACTTTATCGGAACAACGACGTTATCGTAATCTGTTTGCTGGTGCACCAGGGCGTGTCAATCAAAGAGGCGCTGCGCACAAATATCGCTTGCAGTATAATACACCATATTCACGACAGTCATCCCAAATTTCGGTTGCAGTTTGAATTTCTTATTATTTGTTATGAGTTAGGTTTAACGCTCTTCATGCGTCAGGTAGACCTCACCACATCATCTACTTAAACAATTTTACTCATCCAGTACAACTTTTCATCGACTTCTGTACACGATTTCTTCGACTTCCGGTTATATAATTAAAGAACGGAATTTAGAATCGTATGATTGAACGCAGAAGTGAATATGTGCCACATCGACTGCTCGTAAACAAACTGCCCATTAACGTAAATTTCACACCATCGCTAACGCCTGCAGAGTGTCACATCAGAAAGGCTGTGCCCATTCCTTCAGCAGCAGTGACGTGAGAATAGAGATGTCCAGCGTCTTTTCGTAATTAAATAATTGGCCAGCGCACGGGCTGCCCGTGCAAAGATACGTTTTCTGTGTAGTTCTTCGCAGTTTTTGTCGTTATCGGCACCGGTTTTTCTGGCAAATGTTTCTAGCTAAACAAATTAAGACTGGCCGCCAGAACTGTTAGGAAGCACCCCCTTAAAATTTCAGCTTTCTAGCTTTCCTGGCTCCTGAGTTAGCAATTTACTCGAAAAAACTTTCACGGGCCCGTACGTGGGTATCACGCATGCTCGACGCCTGGGTTCGAGCTCGTTGAGATTTACTTGAACGGAGAGCATCCCCTTAAAATTGCAGTCTTCTAGCTTTTCAGGTTCTTGAGTTAGCGACTTACTCGCGGAAAAATTTCACGGGCCCGTACATAAGTACCACGCATACCCGATGTCTGGGTTTGAGCTCGTTGAGGCTTACGTAGGCAGATAACGTCCCCATAAAATTTCAGCTTCCTGGCTTTTCTCACTCCCGAGTTAGCGATTTACCCGCGAAAAACTTTCACAAACCCTTACGTGGGCACCATGCGTACCCAGGAACTGGTTTGAAACTCATTAAGACTCATGTGGGCAGGGAAAGTCCCTGTAAAATTTCAGCTTTCTAGCTTTGCTGGTTCCCGAGCTAGCGACTTACCCGCGAAAAATTACCCGTACGTGGGTACCACGCTGGTAAGGGTGTGCTGTCGTTCATTGAAAAAATGCAAAATTGACAATGCACTGGATATCGAAAGAGGATTATGAAAAATGCAAAACATATTGGATTTTGTGTTCGCGATAAAATCGAGCACTGTCAAGTCCACATACAGGGAATTTCGTCTCCAAGCTGGGTTTGGACCACGCGTGAATATAGAATGTCCCTGCAAATTTTCAACCTCGCAGCTTGTCCGTAGGCGGCATAGCCATTTCGCTGTAAATATTTTTGGTATGCCGAAAGCCAAAATTCAAATAAAATTCGAAACATCATATAGGAATACGATTTCCCAGTTGGGCGATAAATGTCCTGACAGGATTTTAGCTGTTTTCCCGGCTAGTTTTCAAATTGGTACGGTGCCAACCGCGAGTTTTGATGGGACAGTATGTGCGGCACAAACTTACACGCGACAGCTGAGTTTGAAATGTTTTGTTCACACATACACAGAAAATAAATACCCTTGCAAGACTTCAGCTTTCTATTTCGTCTGGTCTCAAAATCGTTCCTTGCCAACAAAATTTGCATGTTTCTTTCCAGAGTCTGTACGCGAGATCTAAGCGAGTATGAGCGATGGGAGGGTATCATGTGCAGTGGGAACATACTCCCAACATTTTAGCATCCCAGCTTTCCTGGTTGTTGAGTTGAAAGTGGGTGACGAAGTTCACCCGTTTCCGAACACAACACACACACAGACGACCTCTCAACATGCGTTTTTGCATTTACATAGTATGCAACCCAGGCTGGAACGCACTAGGCTCTACGGTGCGATCATGCGTTTTTGCACTAAACTCGCAAATCGCTATTAGCAAGAATGACCCCTACGCTGTAGCTTTCTTGGGTCATACTGGCCGTGCTTTGATCTTTTCCGGCACGCAGGAGGAAGGGCATTAGCTGGGATGAAGGTAGTAGAGCCGCACAGGCATCCAGGTGCATGATTATCGGTTTTTTGCATGAAGTCCGGTCGTTTTTCCGGTAAATGTTCACTTTGTGAGAAAATGACAAATGCAATTTTTTTGAAAATGTGCAAATTTTCAGTTCATTGAACATTGAAAGTATTGCTCGAACGGTCATTTTCAAAAAATCCATGTTCATTTGCATATATAGCTGCAGTTCAGGTTCGAGTTACTAAAGATTTTTGGGTTGTGGAGCTGCTTGAGGCTGTGGTTGGGAAGCTAGAGAGTTGAGTTTCAAATAGCTCGCACGTGCATAGAGAATATCCCTGCAAATTTTCAGCTTTCTACGTTGCCTGGTTCGCGAAATCATTTCCCGCCAACATATTTAATTGAGGTCCCATACGCGGGGTCTAGGCGCGTATGGGGAAAGATCTTAAAACGGGAGGATGGCACACGAGGTAGGAACATATATCCAAAGTTTCTGCCTCCCAGCTTTCCTGGTTGCTGAGATGAAAGTGGGTAACAAAATGCACTCGCTTTCCGAGCACATACACACACACATACACACACATACATACACACACACAGACAGCCTCTCGACAATATGCGATTTTGCTGGCTGTAGCAGAGCAAAAGCGTATAAAGACGCATATTGTCAAAAAGCTGCGCGAATGTTTGTATGTGTGTTTAGAAGCGAGTGAATTCTGTCACCCATTATCAATTTACCAATCAAGAAAGCAGGAAGACTGAAGTTTGGGAGCATATTCTCTCCTCCATTTGTCATCTTCCCATTTTAAAGTCATCGCACATACGAATCTAGATTCGCGTACCGACCTATGAAAAAAATACGTAAATTCCGCTGGCAGGAAACGATTTTCAGAATCAGACAAGATAGAAGGCTGAAACTTTGCAGGGACATTGTCTGTCCATGTTAAATGTTTTGAATTCAGCTATCGCGGACGCATACGTTCACGTATACGTCCGCAATTGGTACCGTGTCGAATTAAAAATCATTGACGACACGCACTGGGCGGGCCCGTGCGATCATGCTTTTTTGCAGCGTTTCGTACTGTAATAAGATCACTCGAAATTCCGCTAGCTAGAAACCTCTGACATATTGTCCTCGAATTTCGGGAAGTTAACTGTCCACGCTACAATTGGAAAGGGAACATTCCCTTACATTCCATGTTCCCAGCTTTCTCAGTTCCCGAGTTACCCAAATCCCAGCCAGAAAATTTCACGGGGCCGTACGTGGTAATCACGCACGATTGGGAGCTGGATTTGATAAATTTAGGTAGTAGTTGAGCTACGAACATTTCCTGAAAGTTTCAGCCTCCCAGCTTCCCTGGTTCCGGAGTTAGCCATTTTCCCGCCAAAAATTTTCACGGAGCCGTCCGTGGCAGCCACGCATGACGGGGGGGGGGCTGAATTTGATAAATTTGAGTTGTAGATGAACTAGGAACATTCATTGAAAATTTCAGCCTCCCAGCTTTGTTGGTTCCCAACCTACCAATTTTCGCGCCAGGAACCTTCACGAGGCCGTATGCGGGAAACACGCACACCTGGGGCTGAATTTAAAATCATAGAGTTCTTATGGGGAAAATAATCCCAAAATTCCAGCCTTCTAGCTTTTCTGGTTCCCAAATTAGCGATTTTCCCGCCAAAACTTTGAAGCGCTCGTACGCAGGGACTAGCCGTGCTTGAGGATTGTTACCGCGGCCCTGGGGTGGCACTTGGCCGGGAGACCCACTCGCAAAATTTTGGCGCCGGAGATTGCTTGGGTGCCGAGTTGAAATACCCAGGCAGAGACACACATACATACACACATACACACACACACACACACACACATACACAAACACTGAGGTCGCCGTAATATGCATTTGCATATATGAATAATTGGCCAATGCACGGGCTGTCCGTGCGATGATGCGTTTTTCACATAGTTCCCCGCAGTTTTTGTCGCTTACGGAGTCGGTTTTTTCGGCAGATTCTTCTAGCCAAACAAATTAAGACTAGTCGCCAAAACTGGCGGGAAAGACCCCCGTAAAATTTCGGCTTTCTAGCTTTCCTGGCTACTGGAAAAAATTTTTCACAAGCCCGCACGCGGGTACCATGCATACCCGATGACTGAGTTTGAGCTCGTTGAGACTTACTTTCACAGGGAACTTCTTCCTAAAACTACAGTCTCTTAGCTTTTCAGGTGCTCGAGTTATGAACTTACCCGAGAAAAACTTTGGTGAACCCGTGCGTAGGTACCACGCATGACCGAGGGCTGGGTTTGAGCCCTTTGCGACTAATGTGGACGGGGAACATCCTTTTAATATTACAATCTTCTAGCACCTCAGATCTCCAAGTTATGAACTCAACCGGGGAAAGTTTTGGCGGGCCAGTACGCGGGTACCACGCCTACCCGGGAGTCGGATTTAAGCTCATTAACATCTACTTGGACGGGAAACATTTCCTTAAAATTCCAGCTCTCTAGTTTTTCGCGAGTTAGCAGCTTACTCGTAAAAAACTTTGGCAGGCTCTTACGTGGGTGCTACGCGGGAAAGACCGCCCATTTTGGGAATGGGGACCCGTACGTGCATGTAGATTAAGTCCCCAAAGTTTCAGCCCTGTAGCTTTTGTGGGTCTCGAGATGAAAAATCGGTACAGACGCGCAGCGCACACACAGACACACACACAAACAAACACACACAACTTCTCGTTAATATCCGTTTTTCGTATTGCATAGCTGCAAAAAACGCACGATGGGGTCGTCGCAATATGCGTTTTCGCGTTTGCATAAGTGCAACCCAGGCTGGAACGGGTGGGCCCGTGCGATCATGCGTTTTTGCACCGGACTTGAAGTACTCAGGTCATTGACTGCATG